TATATATACATATGTGTGTGTATTCCTCGTATGTTTAAGCCACTCTCTAAAATCTTAAGCTTTCAATTCTTAATAATCCTTTTTTTTTTTTTAATGATTACAATCTAATTTTTGGATGTCTGCATTGTGTTCTACGAGTTCCTATGTGACAGAGACCCTTCCCTTCTTCTTAAAGTTACGTTCTTTTGGTGTTTTGATGCGTTTCCGATGTGGGTTTTTGCCTCCTTTTTTCTGGGTCTTCTTTAAATATGTTCAAATGAATAGTTGTTTTCTAATAAATCTGCAAAGTCAGTGAGTTTATTGTGACTGATTTGTATATAATAGGTTTAGATAACATTCTTTGCAACTGTTCTGGTCAACAAAATTTAAATTTGCAATAGTCTAGAGTGGTCTTCACTGTTTGACTTTGGTCAACAAAAGTTAAGTTCCAATAGTTTACGAGTCCTTTGATTTGATTTGAAGTTTCAATTTTTGCCGCACTTTGAGTCTTTGACCAAAAAAAAAGAAGACAGGTTCTTCCGAAAGATGCAGTCTTTCAAAAGGGAGAGAGAGAGAGAGAGAGAGAGAGAGAGAGAGAGAGAGAGTGGGTGCCTTTAGCTGATTGAGAGATGCAACAAGAATGCCGCGTTTTTGTTGGTTGAGAGATCCAACTTGTTATGCAAGTCATTCGGAGCTATTTACCATTTAGGCTGATTGTTTCTATACTGGGAGGTAAGCTGTCACTTTTCCCTGATTGTTTCCTACAGCTTCAAACCACATGGCATATGTAATATGTGCCGACGACAATATTAGCATAGCTGAGATTCGTATGATTCTTAAGACTGTTGGGATGTTTCTCCCGTGCCACCTTTATTGAATTCCCGTCACAGCTGTTTAGTTGTATCATGGATTCACGATGCTTGTCTATGAAGAAAGAGAACATGGTGGAGCGGTAGCTTGGGCCCATTATCTGGTCTCTAGACAGGAGATTAGAGGATTGCCTCCGGCATGTTTCATGTTTGGTCATGAGGGTCTAATTGGATCAGTACAAACTAATTAGAGTTGTTCCTTAAAAAGTAAATTAAGCTGACAATGTCAAGATGGTTTTTCTGGATATCCATAAATTCGAAACATGTCAGATTTATGAGTTATACTACCCGTTCTACATGCATGATGAAGTGTTTTCAGAATACAAGATATTCCGTTTCACAGGACAATTTTGTTGTCTAATCCTGCATTCTTTGTTGATGTTTTGCAGATGCCTTCATCGGTGTAAACCTCGGTACAGATCTTTCTGACATGCCGAGCCCAACTCAGGTGGTGGCACTTCTTAAAGCTCAAAATATTCGACATATCAGACTCTATGATGCTGACAGAACCATGCTCCTCGCTCTTGCAAACACAGGCATCCAAGTGACGGTTTCTGTTCCTAATGACCAGCTCCTTGGGATTGGCCAGTCCAATGCCACTGCTGCTAACTGGGTTGCTCGCAATGTGATAGCCCATGTCCCTGCCACCAACATCACTGCTATAGCTGTTGGATCGGAAGTCTTTAGTGCCCTCCCAAATGCTGCTCCAGTCCTAGTTTCTGCCCTGAAGTTCATTCACTCTGCACTTGTTGCGTCTAACCTTGACCGCCAAATTAGAGTCTCTACTCCACACTCTTCCTCCATTATTCTCGACTCCTTTCCACCATCTCAAGCCTTCTTCAATCGCTCATGGGACCCGGTCATGGTTCCCCTGCTCAAGTTCTTGCAGTCTACAGATTCATATCTCATGCTCAATGTCTACCCGTATTATGATTACATGCAATCAAACGGTGTAATCCCCTTGGACTATGCACTTTTCCGCCCTCTCCCTCCAAACAAGGAAGCCGTGGATGCTAATACACTGCTTCATTATACTAATGTCTTCGAGGCTATTGTTGATGCAGCCTATTTTGCAATGTCCTATCTAAACATCACTAATATCCCCATTGTAGTGACCGAGTCAGGCTGGCCCTCAAAGGGTGACTCAGCGGAGCCAGATGCCACACTTGACAATGCCAACACTTACAACAGTAACCTAATTAGGCACGTGCTTAACAACACGGGGACTCCCAAGCATCCTGGGATTGCTGTTAGCACTTATATTTATGAGCTCTACAATGAGGATTTGAGACCTGGGTCTATCTCTGAAAAGAATTGGGGACTTTTTAATGCTGATGGAGTGCCAGTTTATACCTTGCACTTAACAGGTGCTGGAACTGTGTTGGCAAATGACACAACGAACCAAACCTTTTGTGTTGTGAAGGAAGGTGCTGATAAAAAGATGCTACAAGCAGCCTTGGATTGGGCATGTGGACCAGGGAAAGTTGATTGCTCACCTTTGCTGCAGGGTCAACCATGTTATGAACCAGATAATGTGCTCACACACGCATCATATGCTTTCAATGCATATTTTCAGCTGATGGCCAAGTCACCTGGAACATGTGACTTCAAAGGGGTGGCTACCGTTACTACCACAGATCCAAGTATGGCATCATGACATGTTTATTTGCATCATAGTTTCGATTACTACAGACTAGCTTATGAGCTTTGATCAAACTTTAGTAGTGAAGACTGTAATCAAGAAGAAAATTTTCTGTTTATTGCACCGCCAGTGTGTTATATTCTGCACTTTTGTTCGTGAAAATCTTGCTTTGTTACTGATATATTTTATTGCCAATTCTTGCAGGTCACGGCACTTGTATATTTCCAGGAAGGTAAAAGTTTAAACTCTCTCATCTTATTACGAATATATTTTAACTTCCAAGAGACTACCAGATATAATCTAACCTTTTGTTCCTTTTTGGTGAATGTAGTGGCGGGAGAAATAGCACTTTCGTCAACAGCACATCACTGGCTCCTTCTTCAAATTCCACAGCTTCTGGGTGCCTTTCACTATTTTTCTACAGTGGTGGTTCCTTCACAAGCTCTGTGATCATCGGTTTCTTAGTTCTGAGTGCAGTTCTCTTGTAGAACGCGGTGAATTTGTATTTCCTGCAAAACTCTTTTGATAGACGAATATTTTTTAGAGACTCAGTTTGGCACCCGTTGGGAAACTTGCAGCAAGACCCAATTTTGTACCCTCCCAGGAGGAGTTAGGGGGTGGCAAGCTTTGATTTGAACATATAGGCAGAAGCAAGTAGTGGTTGAAAGGTGAGTACTTGTTCATTGGAATTTGTAGAAACAAATTGGAAGGGGGATCATTTAGGATTATTTTGGTGTACCTATGTTGTTTGCATAAATCTCGTTTTTGCTGACAGTTTTATTCTTTTGTTCCGGACTTTGATCCGTCCATTTATATTCAGCGTGATGAATTCAAGACCCTTCCATGTAAATCTGCCTGTTTTTCTTCATATCCTTCCGGCTTTTCTTTCGTAAGATTTTGCCAGTATTAACTTAAATGACGAACAGAAATCATCCAATTGTTCAATAAACATGGCACAACCAAATTATTCAACAACGCTGTGCAAATCTACAATGAACTTTGTATAACAAACATCGCAAACGAACGCGGTGGAACCAGGAGGACAGTATCCTTTGCCGGCGTGTTGCTTACAGTACGGCTTGTTGCAGAAGTCACATTTGGGAAGTTGCAGCCAGCAATCCGAACACAAGATATCTGCACAAACAGCCTCCTCCATTTCTTCACAGTCGATGCATCCGCCGCACTCTTGGCACCTCGGAATGCAAAAGTTGCATCCTCTGCCATCAGTCATTGGCCTGTCTATCTTTGTCCTGCACGTCCTCCTTGGACAGTCGAAAACCATCCTAACCTCGTCGCATTTTGGGCAAACTTGGACGTCGATTGCAGCGTGACCATTGTCGTGTCTGGAGGTTGGGCAGTCCTTGTACTCGTGAAACAGAAGAGGCCGTGATCCTCCTGGCTGCTTTTGCTGTGACCGGTTTATCTGGAGATATGACTCGAGCGTTTCGAGGTGTTGTTTGTTCATGTTGTAGATGCCGTATATCATTACGCTCTTTAAGCCGTGATGATTTTCGGATAATGTTTTGGCAGCTCGAATGACTCCGTCGGGTGTTAAACCGGTGCATCCCGGTACGTAGAGCTGAATCAAAGATTCAAAACGAAACAAAATACAGGATAAGATGGTTAAAATCGTGTTCTTGAGTAAGGAAATTCCGACCATTCGTATATTATCCGCCAAGAAAACCAATTGAAATTACCTATCCGGCGAAAACAATTCATATAAGATTACATCCATACCTTGTTGATAAGAGGATTCTGCTCAACGACCCTTTGAAGCCCCTCATCTGTAACATTGGCACAGTTCATCAAAGCCAGAGATCTCAACCTATCATTAGCCTTGGATGTGATTTTCTTCAAAACCCCATCAGACATCCTCAAGTTCAACGGTGCTTTGACGATGATATTTAGCCATGGTAATACATCTGTGTTTACTGCATCCCTCAGTATCCTACAAACTCCGCTAACAGCAAGAAGCTCGAACAGAGGAAGGTAAGCTGAAACAAGGAACAATGCCTCGTGCGGTGGCCCTGCTTTTTCATCTCCCGAACTGTCAGTAGCTTCATGTTCTTGGTGTTCCACCGTAGACTCTGAAATCTCCATGTTTCTCGGGTTTAAGTGATGGTGGTGAATTGTGCAGAAATGAAGCAGAACGTATCAAATTTCTTGGAGAGAGAGAGAGAGAGAGAGAGAGAGAGGAGATTACAATTGGGTTTTGAGATTACGACTGATATGAGCAGTTTTTGTCAAGTTGTAATAAGTCGGTGGAAAGAAAATATCTCAAGCTTTTCTTTCTCCCCACGCAAATGAACACCGTCAAATGCTAATGTAATTAAAATTTTAACAGCATTCTGTGCCACTCCAGATAACATGACATGAATTCACAACGTTTTCACTGCAACAAATGTTTTATGCAACGGAACACGAGTGTTTGCAACTCATCAGAAGAAAATATAACTCATTTGTGCTTTTAGTACAGAAACTTGAAATGCAGCATGAAACACTACAAGAGGGAACACGAACGTTGATAATTATTGCAAGTCTTGCGATTTTACATATTAGCTGACAATGGAAAATGTCACACGTACAAGCAAGGACACGTCTAAAATTGGCGGCCATTGTCAATGGTCCAAAGGCTCAACGGCTGTTTTGAAAAGAAGAACGTAAACCTTGTCGATAGAAAAATACAAGAAGCCCCCAGTTGAATGCGTCACGTATGAACCAAAGCTAGTTCCCACAATGCAGTGCCAAGCTGGACCGTATGATGAATCGAAATCCTGTCAATTAATACAAAAACATTGTCAACTCTCTATATGAACCAAAACTAGTTCCCACAATTTCAATGTTTCCTTGTATATTTCAGTACACATCGTTACGATCTCACTGCATCCCAAGTTATAGCATAGAAACATAAAATCTAGTGTCACAACATACTAGTCTTGTGATCTCTTAGATTCTCAATCAGTGACGTTCAATGGTGCTTCTTGCACAGCACATTCAGTTACCAATATTCGACTGAAAAACGACTGTGAACTTCGAATTTATCAAGAACATGTGTTTGTCAGAAACCCGTCTCTTTCATGCAAGAAATTGTTCTTGCAGAAGAACAGAGAATAATAATTGAGGTGTCAATGAAGCAGAACCTAGACTGCTAAGACTTACAATTCTGAATTTGAGTCTAAGACACAAAAATGCCTGCTTCTTTTGATAATCAATCAAAGAAACTCATAGCAAGTCCTTTTCGGGTCTATTTGGGATTGCTTCAAATAGTTATAAGGCGTTTTTGGGACAATCAAAAGCGCTTTCGATTGCATTTGATAAAATAGCTCAAAGTGTTTTTTTCTTCCAGAAAGCACTTGAATTTTCAATAAACATTTCAATGTGTTTCAAATCAAACCCACTTATACCAAAAGCGCTTCCTACAAAAGCAATCCCAAACGATTGCCACATTTCTCTTCTTTCCTTTGGTTTTTGATCCTAGGGTGAAAATATAACTTCAGAATACCCACTACTCAAAACCACTTGAACAACAACTCAACAAAGATTGCAAGCATGCGACTACAAACCAAAAGGATGAAAACCCAGTAAGAGAATGAAAACAATAATCTGATGAAGGCAAAAGATTTCACCTTTTTAAGTGCGAGAGCGAGGCGTTTGCTGTCGAGCTTCCCAGGCATGGCGTCGAGGTGATCCCGCGCAGAACGAAAGGCGCGGTTTTGCAGAGGGATGGGCATGTCCGATGCCCTGACTCGAACATTGAGGCGGTCACAGTGATCTTGTTCCTCCACAGCTTTCTTCTTCTGTATCAAACTGCTGAGGAACTTGCTCCGCCTCTCCAGCTCCAGCTCTGCTCCCTCCATTTCTCTCTTGGCCAATGATAAATTCACTCTCTCACATCAGTCAAAAAGCAGCATTCCATAAAAAGTACCCAAAGAAAGAAAAGGATAAAAAAGGAGAGAAGGAAGAGGGAACAGAGGTCTCGATTGCAATGTTATTTGGGTTATATATTTCCTTTTGTTTGTCTTTTGATGCCTTGTTTGCGTATGGGTGAGGGGTGTTAGGGCTAGGCCGGGCGTAGTGGAGGAGACAGCTTTTCCGTACTTCGATTCGTAGCAAGCTGCAGGCCGAAACAAACGGCATTGCCTAATGCCAGATAACCTTTTGTTTGAGCTTTTTGAGGTAAAATTGTCCACAAGGAATTGATTAAGGACGTTTACTCTATGCTCGAGTTCATTTTTAAACATTTTTCCCTTATTATCGAGAGTATTTACAAATGTAGTTGTATATGCAAACGTGAGCGTATACATTGACTAGAACGAATATTATATGTATTCAAAATTAAATGTGCTCTGCATCCAAAGTCGAATTCTCTAATTACAAAAACTAAGCTCATGAACTTATTATCCTAGGTCAGACTAAGTTGATCGGATCCCTTTTTTTAACGTCCCCATATCTCTCCTATGTGGCGACGTGGGGGCGTAAAAAAGGAAAGAGATGTGGGGTTTCTCTCACTTTTGGCATAGTGGGAGGCCCACACAACAGGTTGTTGGCTTAGTGCCCCGACTCTCCTGTCATTAGGTCATCAACTTCCTTGACCTTCCGACACTAGGCAGGCATCAACCCCATACAGGGCCTTTTGACTTTGCGAAGACTTGTGTTTTTGATAAACAGTCATCCATGCCTAGTCACTGCGACCCTCTTTTTAAGAGGGCAACCTTTCTCCCAAAATTACGGGACTATTTTGCCCAATTCTTTAGAGATGGGTGTCTCGTGTTCCTTATTTTCTACCTACTCACATGTGTTGGTTTCGGGTACCATATATTTCAATGGTCATTAGTGATCTAGTATTTCAAAAGCACAGAAATATTTTTCACTCCAAAGGTATATGAAGGGCCTCAACCTTTTCAACAAAGACACGGTAATTGCGGGAAAAAAAAAAAAAAAAAAAAAAAAAAAAGGAGGAAACGATCAATGATGAATGGGTCAGTGAGTGGCCCCATCTCATTAATTTCTTTAGATTTTTTTAACGTTGACTTGACTCATATAATCTAAAATGAATACGTGTATTTAACTGATGGTTACATGAATTTCCTTGAAGTTTATAAAAGTGTGTTTGGTATTCTATTTAAAAATTTTAATTATTTTTAAACCTATTTATCAAATATATTTGAGAACATTTTTCTTGTTTAAATCTCAAATTTTTAAAAACTTGAATTTTTTTTCAATTGAATTCATACCTTGTGAGCACGAAATTGGAGGGGAGAGAGAGAAGAGCGGCATAAATTGGAGAGAGAATAGCGGCATAAATTCGAAGAGAGAGATTATTAGAAATTGGTGAGGGGAGAGAAGACCTGGAGAGCGAAAGAAATTGGAAATCATAGAGGTTTGTTAAGTTAAAAAAAATTTAAAAACTCATTTTGGTGTTTTTAACAAATTGACAAATTGTCTATGTCTTTAAGTTAGTCTTAGGTCTAGTTTTTAGAACTACTCAACTCAAATTTGGTTAAAAAAAATGAAGCAACTTTATGAGCCTTTACATCAACACGATCTGCGAATGAACATATTTGTTCTTCATTTTTTCTATTTTTCCTCTTGAAATTTAAATTTATTAATTATTTTACATATTATACAATGCTCATTACATCAATAGTTCAACATTTCATGTATTGTTTGTATGAATATATAACATCGTGACAACAAACTTGGAATAACACTAAGTACAATACATAATATAATATAAGTGGAGTTTCTGAGTTTCATTTATCTCGACTCATGCCTTCCTCCACCACCGGAGCCATCGGATTCATTGCAACTCCTTCACGGTTCCTTTCCTCGATATTTCCATGCCATCCTAATTATTTTGTTATTCAACATTAATCCAACCGAGTCAATGCAAACAGAACAAAAAACATTAACCTAAAATATAGATTTCCATCTAACATTTATTCAATTGGAAAGCTCAGTTTGTGGCCAAAACAAAACATTAGAGAAATTTAATGATATTCGTGCATATCCAAAGGGACAAAAATCAAAGAAATAAGATCAAAAGTCTAAGGAGAGGTTTGTCCTATATATTAATCATATCATGACATGTTAGACCTATACTACGATCAGAAATTTTTATGTGTAACTGGTTGTATATCCTAATATTAATTAGTATTAATCATATCAGTGACACATCCTTTGATTGCATCTTTGAATTAAAAAAATAGAAATAAAAAAGTAATTACCAAGTTTCAAGTCAAAACCGCGAAACTTGAGCTCGCGGTACTCTTGGCACAAGGCGCAGTGCTCACAGAAGCAATGAACCAAGCAGTCCCCACAAGGGCTCTCTTCCAAGCTGTATTGCTGTCTCATTTTGGAGCGGTAGAAGCATGAATAGCAGCATGGACAAGCTGTCACACAAGTAATAAGTGTGTACAGCGCTCCACTGGCACCACAAGCTGCATATCATTTCGTTAACTAATTAGTTAACCCTCATTAATCACTTAATAATACACCTTAATCCCATTTAGAAAGAAGGAAAAGGAAAGGAAGAAGCTTAATTAGTTAATTACATGTAGAACCCTTATCCACAATCTCTGCAATTTGACCAAAGGTGATGCATGGACACCAAAGTGTTATGCAACCTGCATGTAGACATATACAATCACATGAATCATTAATTCACGAGTAAATGATCCAATATTTCATCCAAATCAAACCCCATTATAAATCACTTTAACAGATTCATCACACACACACACACACACACACACACACACACATATATATATATATATATATATTTATATATAGTAGTAGGATACACACATATATATTTATACGTACAGTTTTTGAAATCGGAGAAGCAGTCGCAGAGGCCGGTGGACCAAGGGATGAGAGCACGAGGGCGGAGACGGGATGGGGGGTGGGTCATGTGGGAGTGGCCACTGTGCGAGCTCATGTCTTCGTTAGAAGTAGTAAAATAAGGTTCAGTGCTGGAGCTGACCGGGATACCTGTCGGCGCCGGCGGGGCATCTTGGTGGTGATGGTGGTGGTGCTGGGGGTCGAACGAGGAGTACTTCTCGTATCCCCTTGGGTGTGACGAGTACATGATGGCCGAAGATAGGTGGGGAACGATGAGGAGGTTGAGATAATATGATCTCAGACAGACTGAGAGAGAAGACTTGGAAAAACTTTGATTTATTCTACAACCGAATTACGGACGAACGCCGCGTTGTTGACTTGACTGCAAGTCTCCTCCGTCTACGAGTCTTCCTGAATGCTTCCTTCCTTACAGGGCTGGGCTAAAGTTTTTGAAGGCCCATGGAAAAGCCTGTGAAAAGGGCCCTTTTATATGATCAATTTTTTTTCGTGGATTGATTTTTGAACATCTATTTTCACTTTTTGCATAGTTTTATTTATTTATTCAAACTAATAACTAAAAAAGATGGATCTGCTAGAGGTGGAACAGAGCTTTTAAAAATTACTAGTAAGCGTATCCGCGTATTGCTGTGGGATTTTGAACTTTGTTCAGAAAGTCTTGACAATATGTGGCAAAAAGCACGTTTAATGTTTACATTATATACAACATTCATGTAAAGTCTTAAAACTTTGTTCAAGTTAACAAAATTGGGGACATTGGAATGCCAAACTCAAGAAGTGTTATTTACATCCATTTATTACATAGACACCCAAATTTGTTCCTCTATAGACACCCAAATTGATAATTCCGATGATAATTTGTTCCTTTTATGTCCAAACTGTATAAAAAAAACCTAAAAATTTGTTCTTTTATAGACACCCAAATCCATAACTCCGACAATGACGTCTTTTTCACTTTCCACAAAGCCATCGAACATCAATATAATAACCGAACTCAAATAGAAAAAAAAAAAATTAGTGAAACAATAGTGACTTTATTATAATATTAAGAACTTATACAAACATTAAAAATAATATTTTTATAAACGAGAGTCCACCATCTAAAGAGACTTTAATAAAACATAAAGGCCAACTCGGTTGAATACGATGGCAAAACAAGCCCACAATAAACAAATGAACACATAAAGTCTTCAAAACATTCATGCCGAAACTCAACAGACTGAGATAACCCTCAAACTCAAAAGAACCTTATTCTTGATGACAAATTCAAACGAAAACGAACTCTTTTATTCAAGAGACAGCAAACAAAGAACGAAAACAAATTCTTTTATTCCAAATGGTATGATTTCCATGCCACCATCAAGCCAACATCATTACTATTTGTGATCAAACTGACGATTCATGCCACCCTGCAGAGCTGGTGCTGTCACCACTCCACAATTCTATGACGCATTTCCTTTCCACCCTAACATTCATTGAAATTAATTAATTAATTAGGAATGATCTTCAAATAATACTTTTCAAAGATAATTACGCGTGTATAACACATATCGATTGATCTAACTAGAGTGGATAAGCAGGTGCAACGAGACGTTCTATTTAAGTAATTATATTGGAGGGAGCAGGGAACAGCGCATGTACGTACCACTGGCAACATCGAAACCACGGTTCTGGAGCTCATGGTATTCTTGGCACAAGGCACAGGGGTTGCAGAATAAATGAACGCAGCAATCGTTGCAAGGTTTTATCTCCAACATGTACTGCCCCCTCAGTTTGGTTCGATAGCCGCAAGTAATGCAGAATGCTAAGTTAGTAAAGTGATTAATTGCTGCATATAAACATCCATGCTGAAAACAACCTGCATACACATGCAAATTTTGTTCACTTCCAATTTCAACATCATCGTCAAATTTTAATCACTTAATTTAGGGCCCGTCTTAGGCTGTTTCCGTATGAAGCGCTAAGTATGTGCTTCTATTATGAAAATATTGAAAATTTTATTGACAATATGACTTTAGCCCCTGAAACTCAAGTTTCTTTACATAAAACCCGATATTGTCTTTTTATTCTAAATAAGACCCAATGATTAGACTCCACATAAGCAAATTCATTAATTTTGTTTGCCTTTACACATTTTGCATTTTTCAGATGCCTAAGACACCCCTAATTACAGTTTTAATGTAGACATTTAATTCCCTGCAGATTTGAAGGGAGAGTGTCACATCCCGGCCTGGGGCGGATAATTTCCCAGGCCTGCTCCACCACCGTAGCACGATATTGTCCGCTTTGGGCTTACCATTCCCTCACGGTTTTGTTTTTGGGAACTCACGAGCAACTTCCCAGTGGGTCACCCATCATGAGATTGCTCTAGCCCCCTTCTCGCTTAACTTCGGAGTTCTTACGGAACCCGAAGCCAATGAGCTCCCAAAAGGCCTCGTGCTAGGTAGGGATGAGAATATACATATAAGGATCACTCTCCTGGGCGGTGTGGGATGTCACAATCCACCCCCCTTAGGGGTCTGACGTCCTCGTCAGCACACACGTGACCAAGGTTAGGCTTTGATACCAAATTGTCACATCTCGGCCTGGGGCGGAACGCTTCCCGGGACCACTCCACCACCGTAGCACGATATTGTCCGCTTTGGGCTTACCATTCCCTCACGGTTTTGTTTTTGGGAACTCATGAACAACTTCCCAGTGGGTCACCCATCATGGGATTACTCTAACCCCCTTCTCGCTTACGGAACCCGAAACCAGTGAGCTCCCAAAAGGCCTCGTGCTAGGTAGGGATGGGAATATACATATAAGGATCACTCCCCTGGGCGATGTGGGATGTCACAGAGAGATTAATGGAAAAAAATGCATTAATTTAAAATCATTGCATATTAATATATCCTAACAAATTGTATGTTAAGGCAAAAAAGAACTAATAATGTTAATAATTTACCTATAAAATAAAAAATGTTATTTGATTCAAAATAAATTTATCTATATTTTATATAATAATATAGGTAAATTATTGCACATATATATATTAGTAGTAAAATGTGCCCAATATATATAAATGCATGAAAATAATTCACCTACAAATAGAGGAAATTTGATTAAAAAATAATATTTCTACTACTTTTTTTTTTTTATTCAATTTCTTTTTTTATTTTTATTAGAAACATAATGTCCCTACAATATAATTTACCTATTGTTTAATCTTATAAGAAAATAATGTATCTACTATTTTATTTTTATTTTTTTTGTCGAATATCTATTGTTTTATTTTAATGGAGATAATTTGTCTTGGTTTAATTTTTACAAAATAATTTAGGCACTGTTTAACTTTACCAAAATAATGGAACTACTATTTTAATTTACCTACAAAATAAATATTTGATTCAAAATTAATTTACTTATATTTTACATATAATTATAGATAAATTATTTTTAACACGCATATATAATAACAAACAAAAAATGCCTAATGTATATAATAATCTAGGAGAAATAATTTACTTACAACATAAAAGAATATTAATTGGTTCTTTGTTGTTTTTATCAAACAATATTATTTGATGCAAAATAATTGATTGTACAAAGGATTTTTTTTCCATAGGAAAAATGTGCCCATAATTGTTTATGAACATGGCTAAATTAATATATATGTTCCTAATATTTATCATACAAGAAAGGTAAAATTTTCATATGGGGTTAATTGCTAATCATAATTAGGGTGAGTAATAATATTTATTGATATAATTAGGGTTTTGTGGCATAAGTTGTAAATATGTGATGATAATTGATTACATATTTGTCTACATGGTATTCTATTTGAAATTTGGGTTTTATTTGGATGTTTAATATTAGATGGGTTTTTATTTGAAAAATAGGAGTTTCAAGAGCGTTTTTCTAAACAACCCAAAATTTTATTATTATCCAAGTTTAGATATCGAGTTACTGGGTTCTTAAAAGAAACATTACTGGTTTGTCCTTTGGAGACAATCTCTACAACACGCCCAACAACAACGCAAGGACACCAAAATCCCAAGCAGCCTGCAGTCCAAATTACGTTATATATAGGTTTAGGGTTTGTATGATCAAATCATCAATCGGTACACATTCATATACCAAACAAATAAACATGGTATAATTGATTTAGCTAGCTAGACGGGAAGGGAAGAGAATAGAAGCTGCGCTTACAGACACTGCACTCACTGAAGCAGTCAAGCAAGCTAGTGCTCCATCCACCCGACATTTTTTCTGCAAACGGTTGGGACATATACTGATATACGCACACACATGCATGCATATATATGTAAGATTATGAGTATGAATATGGAACTGACTATGGTGTTTAAGATTGATATAGAAAAGTCCTAATCTTTAAGCTATTATGTATTAGTATTTCTGCAGGAAAAGTACATTGAGGTTCTGCATAAACCTTGTGGGATTGGAACTCAGTACCAGAATTGGTTTGGGACTGGTGTTTCGGTATTAGTAGTTAAGTCTGAATCCTAAACCTATTCTGATAGGGAATGGTTAAGGGAGTACTATATAAGACTTGAGCCATTGCCCTTACGGGAATGCGGTTCATTGAGATCTCAAGTCCTATTGATTGAGAGAGCCATTGTGTCTTGTTAGAGGGTAGAAGGTTTCGAGTTTATCTTGCTGCAATGGCATCATCATCTGGAGCAAGTTCTGCAGGTCAGTTTCATGCTTACAAATTTACAATTTTCTTATCTTGATCTTCTGAGAATTGTGATTCAATTGATTGAATCTTTATCTTTGTAATGTTATTCTTACAATATACAGATGCATATGCGATCGATGTTATTGGAATCTGCGCTGGACTGCACTATGCATGTTTGACTTGACGTGCAGAATTATCTTTATATGGATGATAGCAACCAGATGAAGAAGGATATATACGATGCAGCAGGAATAAACACATGTTTCACGACCCAAAAAAAAAAAAAAAGAGAGACAATGTTGATTGATGATTAGAACTGTTCATTTTGTAAGTTACTCTTTGAAGTTAATTACGCACAAACCAATTAAATTAAGACATTTCACTGTACAATTAAAATTGTCATAATTTGAATAAATAACTGATAAATGTGATTTGCCTCTTCAGTAAAGAATAATCAGATGATAAAAATAAAAAATAAAAATCTTCATTTTAGCTAATTTTCTATAAATATAATTTTGAATGAGCCTATTTACTCGGTAATTTAGACAAAAATGAAATTGTGAGGCTTGGAACTTTTGAGTAAAGACGAATAAGAGGCCCTAATGAGTGAAGGCGTGAGTGGGTTTGCATACGAACAAAGCAAGAGGCCCTAAGGAATGCTCCAGAAGATAGATTATTACATACAAAGTATGTATTGAGTTGGGATGTCAAGATGTGGAGGTTAAATCGGATTCTCAGATCATTCGAATGCTTAATGGGGAATATGGGATTGATGCTACTTTGGAATGCTTTATTTATGATATTGGGCTGTTGGTATCTCAATTAGGAAGGGTGAGGTTTGTGTTAAGCGGAATGGAAATGCCGATGCTCACGCTATTACCTCATATGTTGCTTCACATGAAGGTGTTTTTCGTTATGATGCTTTTGGTCCAAAGTTTTTACTTAATATTCTAATGAAAAATGTAAACGTACCTATTAGAATCTAATAAAGTCAACCGTTTTGATCAAAAAAAAGAAAAAAAAAAACAAACTACAAACAAAGCAAGAGGCCCTTATGAGTGGGTTTGCATCTTTCCCCTTTTGTATTATTAGTCTGGTTCATGGATGTCACTTCAGACCCACAACGTAGGAATGAGGAGGGGAGGGGCTACGTGTCTTTCCCCTTTCGTATTATTATTCTGGTTCATGGCTGTCACCTCAGACCCACAATGTGGGAATGAGGAGGGGTTACGTGGTTTTTATACATCTGTAACTACCTACTTTTTCTTTTTGTTTTAACCGCTTATCGCGAACAAAAAGGTTGTGTGACTTTGATGTTACGTTTTATTCAGCGTTGCAGGTGTTTTAGTTGTTATTTTTTTATATAATTATTTAGATCTTCTATTTTTAATCTCAATATTTCTTTTTTTTTTCTTCATATTATTTAGTGATAGAAAAACAAGTTGCAAGTCCCTTAAAAATAATATGATGCGTAATGCTTGCATCATTCATGACCATGCCACATTGATATTTGGAAAGAGATTCTCTTTGGATCCTTCACTCCAAAGCCTAGGGATCAAATTATCTGAACTTTAAAAATTTGATCTAACGGCTAAAAATAAAGAAGTTAGTTAAAAATTTTAAAAGTTTTGGAGGGAAAGATTCGGAGATGATCTCTTCCCTTGATATTTTTGAGACGAGGGATGTTCTCCTTTCAAGAGAGGGGAATGAGTCACACAATGGGTCATATATAAATAAGTTGCGGATATTCTCTTCTTTTTTTTTTTTCCTTATAATAGCATGTGGTTCAATATACTAGTAGATTGGATGTTGAGTTTTTAACCATACATTATGAGTTCGAAACTTCTCCATCTTTTAAATTAATATAATAGTTTTACCCTCTCCCTCCCCTTAATAATAGTAGTTTTTTGTTCCGTTGTTCCATAACGACCTCATTCCAAGTCCAAAACACATTAAACAAACTGAACTCCAGTGACTCAAACTCAGTAATTAGGGATAGAAGCATTATCTTGACCAATTACCCTAATTTACGTCTCCATAAATGCATAAACTTTATGTCGGGTTGTTTATTTTATTTTTTATTTTTATAACACTAAGGGGAGGGGGTGGGCTTAGCCTTAAAATGAACTAGCAATAATGTGGTTCAAATTCACCTTTGGTGAGAATCGAGACTAAGACCTCTCACTTACAAGTGACGAGGAATACCACTAAACCGTAATACTAAACAACATATTCAACGTACCAGTGGTTTCTTCATCAATTTGGGATTTGGATGCAATTTAGAATTTTCAGAATAATTAGGGTAGGGTACGTGGTTTCTTCATCAATAGTGGGCTAAAAAAATACAAAAGTAGGCCAGTGGGCTCGGATTCTTGGAAGAAAGGCCTCGAGCCTGGGAAGCTAACTGTTGGGCCCACCAATGATGGCTCCCATCACCAAATTGGGGTTCGGCTTTAGACTTAAGAAGTATGTAGACCCCGATTTGCATTTAATGCGGGCAGGGCGGGCCTCCAGCGATGGTAATGAGCTGCCCAGGTGGTGTATCCTCTGTGGGTAGCGTGCACCGTATCCAACCATGTACGACATCCTTAATTCAAAATTACAGTTATATCCTCATAATTCAGTATAATTCCACAAGCACCCTTGTTTATGTGTCCTCCTGATGATGGTCATTTAGTCTCTATGTGCTATGATCCTATATTTCGATCACAATTAACAATGTAACAGCAGACTAAATATGAGTATTAGGGAGTGATTAGTTATTGCCAGCTGGTAATTTGTTTTAGTGGAAACTTATATATAAGTTCATGCTTTGGATGTAAAAGTTAAATCAGAATTTACACAAAAGAAATATAAACAAAAAAAAAAAAAACAATTCAAGAGCTCTGCACTTTCTCTTTCTCCCTCTCACTCTCCCTCTCTATCTTCTGTGTTACTTGTATGTTGATTAAGGGCCTAGAGATTTCGATCTTATCAATGGTATCATCCTTCTCAAATCCTAGTTTCCTTCCTGTCCACGCCCACCCGACCCGTTTTCTTGCCATGGATGCACGCCTCTCCACTGCAATCAACTCATTTGAAGCTTCAATGCGTGCTGCAATTCGTGATGCGATCCACGAAGCTATGGATTCTGCACTCACCGCCATTCACAAGGTTGTGAATCCTGTACTCACATAAATTCATAGTGACCTTGCTCAGTTACACCATGACTTGGCTTTCGGCGTCGAGGGAGATTTTGATCCAGCTTCGATGTGTTCCTAGGAAGCTGAATCGATCGAGGTCGGTCACCAAAAACCTCACAACGAAAACGGCAACCCATTGCGAAATTCGTCAACAATCCACAATTATTCCATTCCGCCATTGCTTTCATCTTCACCGATGTTGCGAGCACTGGAAAATTCGGCCGTCAAGCCACACTCGAACAACTCTGCTGCATCTACAGTGTTGCTTCCGGAACCCAAGACGATGATCTTTGCTCAGTAGCTACTCCATAAACACTCATTCTCCGATACTACGAAAACTGGACCTGAGTTAGTTCTTAATTTGAGTATCATTTTAGCAACTCCGGAGGCTAAATTCCCTTCTTTTTTGACTGATTACTATGGTGCATACGTGAAAGATAAATTTGGATGGGTTAATTGGTATCTTGTGGGTAAATTTGTGAAGAAAAATTTCTATGCATTGCATCTGTTTGATGATATGTCTAAGAGGCATAATAGGGAGAATATGTCATTGAGTAACAACCTGGAAGCTTTTGATATTGTTGTACTTGTTTGTCGTTATTTACCTAAAGATCTTGCAGCTAGTTTCACTGAGGAGAATGGGACTTTGGGTTATATCAATGTTATCAAGCAGTTCCTTTGCTTATCACTGTTACACATCTGTGCGTTCACAGTCATGGCCATTTCCCAACTTGACTATTCTATTTTCACCAGCTTGTTATCGAAATTGAATCAGGAATTGTGTAATAGGGTTGATGTGCACCTCGATGCTATTTTATTTCCTAATTGCGTAGCGAATGACCAGATTTTCCAGCAACCGGGTTGGTGTCACTCTCTAACTGATCCTTGTGACAGTATATCTTATCAAAGGGTTGTCTTCAATTAGAGGAACAAGTTCAATCAGAGGAATTATACAATATGGTTGATGGAGATGCCCTGCATTCTCTTCTCTTTCAAGGTAGTAGAAGAAAATGGGAAGAGAAAGGGTTTCGGGTTTTTTTCAATTTGACAAAGAGGACTCAGCTATGGTTGCTGCTAGTGCTCTCAATGATACAATCAGTAAGGGGAAGAACCTATATGTATCGATATTTGTTCAGGAAAGTACGAATGATAACAGGCTCCATATCTTTTCCAACACTCTGAACCCTGCGTTGTCTCAGGATGTGGTCTGTTACAAAGGTCTGGAACTTGCTACAAATATTACAGAAGCATGTAACAATCATGTTTTTGGTCAAATTGTGCTCTTGCTGGTGCAAATTGTTACAATCATAATCAGGCCCTTGGAAGAATATGCTAACTTGAAAGGGCTTCAAGATGGACATTTCAGACAAGAAGAGGAAATGTTTGCAATACTCAGCCATAAACACAGAAATGACCCTCTCAAAATCAAGGAAATCATTTCCATGGTTGCCAACAATCTAACAAGTCTCCTGAATTTAGAGATTGAGTTCAAGCTTCTTTTGTAGGAAGATGGAACAACTACTGCTTCAATCTTATTTTTCCTGGTTTATGGAATGCATTTCAAGGAGCAATGGAAATCTCGGACAACACCATATGTGACTGTGCCTGAGCAGCATTGTGTAAGTCATCATGTTTTCTCTTACATGATTGGTAAAAGATGGATTTTGTTAGAGCTGGAGTTGCATCATAAGAAAACTAGCAGACGTATTTGGATGCTCACTTTTGGTAGTGAAGAGGTAATAGTATTCATGCCAAATCTATGAGTTGATGGTGCTAGTGTTTGTGCATGGTTGTACGATTATGGATGTATCTGCAAAGTCTATCATAAGCTAAAAGTAATTTGTTAGACAATATGGCACACATCAATGTATTGGTTGCTGCTGGTGTTATTTCATTTGGTTGTTGCTGGTGTTATTTCTTTGCCTGTTCTTCAGGAATGATGTCCATCATATTTGTCTTACTGCAAGTGTAAGTTGGCAAAATGAGCTGTTTAAATTTTTGGAACTTGATACTACTCAGCCACCTTATGTGTTCAAATGCCAACTGCCAACTATACACCTTAATAGAGGTGATGAAGGACATGGTTGAAGCTTTGGGTCTGCTCAGGTCCTCTAAATCTTCCATGCATAATATCGGTGTTGCTTATGACGGTTTAAAGTTTAATGATTTCAACGATTCAGAAAGAATTGTAGTTTTCAATATCCAATATAGGCTAGTCCCATCCATCAGCTTATTTCAGAAAATGGAGTTTTATGACAATTAGACATTAGGTGGTCCCAATATCACTGAAAAAAGCTATAAGATGTGCTTCCACGAGGGGAAGATGACTGAGAAAGACATCATTCCCATGGGTGGCTTCCCTCACTGTGGTGTGGTGGACCTAAGAAAAGGATAGTTAATCTTAGGCAGTCTCTTCTCAATCAGACCGCTCGTCTTGCCCTTGAGGATATCAAGTTCAGAACCATCTCTAAGGCTATAATTATTGGCAATGGTCCAATTGCTATAGTAGCTGCATTGGTTGAGAATCTTTTGGCAGGTTCCCTGGGAGTTGGCCCATTTTCTCCGTTTGATGTTGTTGCATGCTTTTTGGCAACTAGCATTGAAATTGAAATGATATCGTGGGTTGAAATTTATGAAGAGGCTGCAGGTAACAACTGTTCATTTACCAAGTTGTGGGGAGCTACCATAACCAGTTCAGGGGTGCTGTCAGGCTCATCTCCTCAAGTTGTGAGCTACCTGCTGATTGTATTTGCAGTCCCTGCAGCTTCCCTTTTGTTGCAAGACTCCTTAGTTTCTGCTCGTTCAAATAAGTTTTTCAATTTTCAACCTTGAGGACAAGGTTGTTCTTTAAGGGGGAAGGTATTGTTATGATCCTATATTTCGATCACAATTAGCAATGTAACAGTAGACTAAATATGAGTATTAGGGAACGATTAGTTATTGCCAGCTGGCAATTTGTTTTAGTGGAAACTTATATATAAGCTCATGCTTTGGATGTAAAAGTTAAATCGTTAAGGTTAAAGTCAGATAGGACAAGATCCAAACCTAGCAGTTGACTTGTCTTGATCACCAATTGCCAACGGCCCAACAGTGGTAGTTTACTCGTGCAGAGAGAAAAGACGTGCGGAAATCATCTTAATATAACTGTGATTTTAATCTTGTAAATTCAGTGTATTTTTAGTGTTTGAATTGAAACAAACAAGTATATACAAGTAAAAACAAAGAAATGTGCTGAAATCATTTTTTCGTAAAAACAACTAAATATAAATCAAGAGTAGATAACAAGATATATGAATGGTAAAAGCATTACGTTTTGAAATCTGGGACTGAAAACTGAAAAGCCCTTAACAAGGGGTCGCAATCAGTTTGAAGAAAAGTTAGGTTTGTGAAGCAAATTGTAATAGAGATGTGCTATCCACACATCTTATTTTACTTCTCACACAACCCTTGATAATTTATGTCCATTGATCCTCTTCAATTCATCTGATTCGACGGTCGAAAATTAAAAAAATGTGTGAGAAGTAAAATGAGGTGTGTGGACATCACACCCCATTGTAATATGTATGAAGGAAGCGTATGGGAAGAAAGAAATCCATCGTCTCATTCTCAGGCTCAGCCTCTGAGCACATGAATGATTGATTGAGGTGGTGTACATATTGATCTTCGATTCGGTGTTTTTTTAATTTATTTTTTAATTTATTTAATTTATTCAATCTATAATGACCAAAAAAGATGGGCGTACAGGAGGCGGAAAAAGATTTTTGGAAATCACTAGCAGGTATACCCGAGCATTGTCACGGAATTTTAAACTTTGTTCAAGGAGTGGACAATCTTGAAAATACGTGGCAAAGAGTATTGCTTACTATTTACTTTATATGTAACATCCATGGAAGTCTTGAAATTTTGTTCAAGTTAACAAAATTGGGGACATTGTGTGAAAACCTGTCCTGATTTAATTTACGGGTTTTACGGAACGGAAGGTTAGTTTCGTAATTTCACTTTGGTTTTAAAAATGTATTTGAAAGGGTATTGTTTTGGACCTTAAATGGTGTGCCCAAGGGACCCAACCCTGATTTTTTGTGCCCAATTCCCTTCTCCCCCATCTGCCATGTGGCAAACCCTTACCCACTTTCTTTATCTTTTCTCTTCTCCCCGAGCACTCACCCTATCCTCTGTCTCACGTACTCACTCTATCTCTTTCACCCTCTCTCCCTATCTCGCCGATCAAACTCGCACCCACGCACACCCAATCGAACCCCCTAACGGTGATGCAACACCACCACCACCACCATTGTAGACCTTCTCTCCCTTTCTCTCCATCTCCGTGAAGTTCTGGGACACCCATAAGGCACCCAACCCAGGTTCAACGAACCCGTGGGTTTCAAACAGGATTCCAGCCACCTCCGGCCATTCCATGGCGGATCTCAGGTACAAAACTCATCCTTATCGTCTCTACCTTTGTTTTGGTATATAAATCAGAGTCTAGGACGGCGTTTTGGCGTCAATTGGAGCACGAGAGGCTCCGGCCTTCTTCCCCGGTGAGAAATGGGTCAGAGACCCAAACCCAATGAACCAAGGCCCTTGGGCAATGTATAGGACTCGGGCCTTAGGCCCGTTAGCCATTAGACATAAAAACCCAACCCGTATATTTTTTAATTTTAATTATTTAGTTTTCTTTCAAAAAACCCAAAAGAACTAGGCTGTGCCTTTAAGCCCAATCCCGTGTAAACCCTTGCCCCGGGACCAAAGGGCTTCGACCCGTTGACCTTTAAGCCCAAACCTCTAAACCTAGTCAACCCAAATCCTTTCCTTGGGCCGAGCTTTCAAGCCCAGGCCCTTTGACCCAAAAACCCTTGGGCCTTAGAACTAAGCCTAGAAACCCAACCTGAACCAAGCCCAGATCCAGTTGACCCGACCCGATCGTTGACCTAGTCTGACCCGTCAACTTCAGTCAACGCTGATTGTTGATTTTGACCGTTGACCATTGACCGTCAACGTTGAACTTTGGGCTGATTTTTTCGGGTTTTGTACGGGACCTCTTCTGGGCTAATTTCGACGTCCTAGATCCGTTTTTTACGTCCGTTTTCCCAAATTCAATAGTTTGAATAGAGTTTTATTAATTGTACCATTTATGTGCTTGCAACTATTAGCGGCGATTTCGTCCTTCCTATTTCGTACGGCTCTTCGACGACGGAGTATTTGTGAGTGAACCCTTCTAAAATGCATGTTAATAGTAGAAATGCATACATGAAAAAATATGATTTAATGATTACGTTTTATGAGATATTATGCTTACTGAGAATATTTTGGAATATCATATTTTATTGAACTGATGTTCTTGGTAGTATATATGATGGTTGACTATATATTGTTTATGAACATTCTTTTATACACTTCTTTATAGTATAGATGATAGATGACTTTATACTATGAAGATGTTTTGAGATATATGTACTTATGTTTGGAAAGACTATGTTCTGTTTTATTATTATGTATATCAACTTGGTCCACTCATGTTTGTTTTGCGTCCTCTCAGGACTTATATTTGAGGTGTACAATCCCGACATCAAGGAGTGTTATTTAGATCTATATATTACATAATGATTTGTTCCTTTTATGTCCAAACTGTATAAAAAACTAAGATTTGTTCATTTATAGACACCCAAATCCGTAACTCTGATAATGACTTCTCCTTGGTTTTCCACAAAGCCATCGAACATCAATATAATAACCGATTAGAAAAAATAGAACCCACCACTTTAAGATACACGCAAATAGTTAAAAAAAATTAGCGAAACAATAGTGATTTTATTATAACATTAAGAACTGATACAAACATTAAAACAATATTTGATAAAAGAGAGTCCACAATCTAAAGAGACTTGAACAAAACATAAAAAGTCAACTTGATTGAATACCATGGTGAGACAAGCCCACAAATAAGCAAATGAACACATAAAGTCTTTAAATTATTCACACCCAAACTCAACAGACTAAGATGACTCTCCAAAGCCAAAATAAGTTTATTCAAGAGACGGCAAACAAAAACGAAAGCTAATTCTTTTATTCCAGATGGTATGAAGCATCAAGCCAACACTATTACTATTTGTGATCAGTCTGACGATTCATGCCACCCTGCACGGCTGGTGTTGTCACCACTCCAGGATTCTGTGACGCATTTCATTCCCAGCCTAACATTCATTGAAATTAACTAGTTAATTAGGAATGATCTTGAATTAATAGTTTAATTCTTTTAAAAGATAATTACACGTGTATAACACGTATCGGTTGATCTAATCTAACTAGGGTGGATAAGGAGGTGCACCGAGACGGTGAATCTAAGTAATTGTATTGGAGGGAGGGAACAACGAATGTACGTACCAATGGCAACATTGAAACCACGGTTCTCGAGCTCACGGTATTCTTGGCACAAGGCACAGGAGTGACAGAAGAATTGAACGCAGCAATCGTTGCAAGGTTTTTCCTCCAACTTGTACTGCTCCCCCAGTTTGGTTCGAAAGCCGCAAGTAATGCAGAAACCACAAGGAATGCCGAATGCTAAGTGAGTATAGGAATTGATTAGTGCATACAAACATCCATGCTGAAAACAACCTGCATACGCATGCACACTTTTGGAGTTCACTTCCAATTTCAACATCATCGTCAAATTTTAATCACTTAATTTAGGGCACATTTTGGGCTGTCTACGTACGAAGCACTCATGTTCGAGTTAAGTACGTGCTTCTATTATGAAAATACTGAAAAATTTATTATATCCAAGTGTTTCTTATAAAATCCAAGTGCTTCATGGAAAGGAATTTGAATGTGCTCATCGAGAAAGTGACTAGTTAACAGGTGCTTCTCAAGAAAGTCTATTTAAATTTTTATGTTAAAGTTATTCAAAACAACTTTTGATTGACTAAGACAGAAAGCAAAGAAGCAGTTCAAAACCGGCCCTCAATCAAGTTTACATATCGAGTTACTAGGTTCTTAAAAGAAACGTTACTGGTATGTCCTTTGGAGACAATCTCTGCAACACGCCCAGCAACAACGCAAGGACACCAAAATCCCAAGCAGCCTGCAGTCCAAATTACGTTATCTATAGGTTTAGGTTTTGTATGATCAAATCATCGATCGGTATGTATTCATATACCAAATAAGTAAACATGGTATAATTGATTTAGCTAGCTAGCCAGGAAGGGAAGAGAATAGAAGCTGCGCTTACAGACTTTCGCAGTCACCGATCAGCAGTCAAGCAGGCCAGTGGTCCATCCCCCCGACATCTTTTTTTGCACACCGTTGGGGCATATACATACATACACCATGCATATATATGTGATCGATGTTAATGGAATCTACACTAGACCGTACTATGTATGTTTTGGTTTGACGTGCAGAATTGTCATGATCATGGATAGCAACGGCAGATGAAGGAGCATTTATACGATGAAGTAGGAGTAAATACATGTTCACGACCGAAAAAAACGAGACAATGTTGATTGATGCTTAGAAATGTTCATTTTCTAAGTTACTCTTTGAACTTAATCACGCGCAAAACCAACTAAATAAGGGCATTCAATTGCTCAATTAAAATTTGTCATAATTTGAATTATTAACTTAGAAATGTGGTTTGCCTCTTCATTAAAGAATAATCAGATGAGCAAAATATCTTCATTTTAGCTTCTTTTTTTTTTTTTTTTTTTTTTTGTAAAAATAAATTTTAATGAGCCTATTTACTCCATAATTTATACAAAAATAGAGTTATGGGACTGAGATCTTGAGTGAAGACGGATAATTAATATTTTAGTAAGCAAATTAACATCTCAGATGACGAAAGAATGCTCTAGAAGATAGATTATTACATACAAACAGAGCAAGAGGCTCTCATGAGCGGGTTTGCATCATTCAACTTTTTGTTATTATTCTGGTTTAGATTATTACATACAAAAATAGCAAGAGGCTCTCATGAGTGGGCCGGTCTGCATCATTCGACTTTGTATTATTACTCTGGATCACGGCTGTCACTTCAGACTCACAATGTGAGAAACGAGGAGGGGTTATGTGGTTCTTATACAAAGATAAGGATTGTTTGCCTCCCACTTTCGATGTTCTTCTGTGCCTTTTGTTTATATGATCACGATTAAACCACATCAATATTTTATATTATTATTTATTTTTATCTTATTATCTCTATAAAAAAACAATATAAAATATTGACGTGGCTTAATCGTGACCACATAAAACAGAAGGACACCGAAAATGGAAGGGTAGACAATCCTTGTCCCTTATACATTACATAAGAAAAATTGGTAACTCCGATAATGATTTGTTCCTTTTATGTCCAAACTGCATAAAAAACTAAAATTTGTTCCTTTACCGACGCCCAAATCAGTAACTTCGATAATGAATTCTCCTACCACAAAACCATCGAACATCAATATAATAACCGATTAGAAACAATAGAACCCACCACTTTAAGATACATGCAAATAGTTAAAAAAAAAAAAATTAACAAAATAATAGTGATTTTATTATAACATTAAGAACTGATACAAACATTAAAAATAATATTTGATAAAAGAACATTAAAAATAATATTTGATAAAAGAGAGTTTACAATCTAAAAGAAATTTCAACAAAACATAAATGTTCAACTTGATTGAATACCATGACTAAGACAAGCCCACAAATAAGCAAATGAACACATAAAATCTTTAAATTATTCACACCCACACTCAACAGACTAAGATGACTCTCCAAAGAAAAATAAGTTTATTCAAGAGATGGCAAACAAAAATTGAAAACAAATTCTTTTATTCCAGATGGTATGAAGCATCAAGCCAACACTATTACTATTTGTGATCAGTCTGACGATACATGCCACCCTGCATGGCTGGTGCTGTCACCACTCCAGGATTCTGTGACGCATTTCGTTCCCAGCCTAACATTCATTGAAACTAACTAGTTAATTAGGAATGATCTTGAATTAATAGTTTAATACTTTTAAAAGATAATTACACGTGTATAACACGTATCGGTTGATCTAATATAACTAGGGTGGATAAGGAGGTGCACCGAGACGGTGAGTCCAAGTAATTGTATGGGGGGAAGGAACAACGAATGTACGTACCAATGGCAACATTGAAACCACGGTTCTCGAGCTCACGGTATTCTTGGCACAAGGCACAGGAGTGGCAGAAGAAATGAACACAGCAATCGTTGCAAGGTTTTTCCTCCAACTTGTACTGCTCCCTCAGTTTGGTTCGAAAGCCGCAAGTAATGCAGAAACCACAAGGAATGCCGAATGCTAAGTGAGTATAGGAATTGATTAGTGCATACAAACATCCCTGCTGAAAACAACCTGCATACGCATGCACACTTTTGGAGTTCACTTCCAATTTCAACATCATCGTCAAATTTTAATCACTTAATTTAGGGCACGTTTTGGGCTGTTTACGTATGAAGCGCTCATGTTCGAGTTAATATGTGCTTCTATTACGAAAATACTGAAAAATTTATTATATCCAGGTGTTTCTTATAAAATCCAAGTGCTTCATGGAAAGAAATTTGAATGTGCTCATCGAAAAAGTGATTAGTTAACAAGTGCTTTTCGAGAAAGTATTTTTAAATTTTTATGTCAAAGTTATTCAGAAAAACTATCGATTGACTAAGGCAAAAAGCAAAGAAGCAGTTCAAAACCGGCCCTCAATCAAGTTTACATATCGAGTTACTGGGTTCTTAAAAGAAACGTTACTGGTATGTCCTTTGGAGACAATCTCTGCAACACGCCCAGCAACAACGCAAGGACACCAAAATCCCAAGCAGCCTGCAGTCCAAATTACATTATATATAGGTTTAGGGTTTGTATGATCAATTCATCAATCGATATATATTCATATACCAAATAAGTAAACATGGTATAATTGATTTAGTTAGCTAGCCAGGAAGGGATGAGAATAGAAGCTGGGCTTACAGATACTGCAATCACTGAAGCAGTCAAGCAGGCCAGTGGTCCATCCACCCGACATCTTTTTTTGCACACCGTTGGGGTATATATGTACACACACTATGCATATATATATATATATGCGATCGATGTTAATGGAATCTGCACTAGACCGCACTATCCATGGTTTGGTTTGACGTGCAGAATTGTCATGATCATGGATAGCAACAGCAGATGAAGGAGCATTTATATGATGAAGTACGAGTAAATACATGTTTACGACCAAAAAAAAAACGAGAAGATGTTTTTTTTTTTTTTTTTTTTCCTTTTATGAAAAAAAAAATGCTTATTATATTAACACTCCACAAATTGTTGAATAAATCTTATATACTTAATACACCTCATATTTACTTTTTCACTTAAAAATTATCTTAATACACCCCACATAGTTTTCCATAAATCCTCACACCCCACATTCTCAATATACACCTTATATTTTGTATATACACTCCACATCTAACATCAAATATTCTCTACAAGGTAACCCCAAAATCTTTCCCTTAAAATTATATTAATTAGCTAATTAATTGATTTATTATTTAATTAATTTATTTATTAGCTACAAATCATGTATCTCACCCTAAAAAACCATCTAAGTGGCCAGTCCATCTCCTCCCAAAGGGGCCGGCCACACCCTTATATAAACACCCTTATTTTCTCCAAAACCTAAGTTTTACACTCTTGTTAAATTTTCTAAATTCTTCAAACACTTTTCCCTCAAAATTCTAACTTTGGCATCGGAGGTACTTCGGCCAAAACCTCCCCCACATTCATCGTGGGCGCGTGAGGGTCTTGGCCTTGACCAAATGTGTTATTTGTTTTGTAGGTGCAATTTTATCCACGAACAAGGAGGAAGAAATTTGCATCCACACATATCGTGTAACATTTGTTCTTGATAGTTACATGGTTCTACTTCTAAGTCACGGTTAGTATTGCCATATGAATCCATTCAATTTTCCTAATGATCCTCATAGTTATTTACTGTAATGTGTTTTTGATCGTGTTGCAGAGATCCAAAAGAAGAAAAGGGCAAACAAAAGAACTCCCAACACAACACCTCCAACAAATGCCAGAGATAAAGCTTTTAATTTGGACCAAAATGTCGATTGGAATTTGACAAAATTGTTGCCTGGGATTTAAATCATATATGAGTTTGTTTTCAATTCTACCATTAAAACTCATATCGTCTGTTTTTAATATTTGGTGGTAATTTAGGTGTTTAATTCTTCATATAATTCTTGTGATCCCTAAAAGATGAACATGAATACAGAAGTTTAAATAATGCAGCAAACACAAGATTAAATAATTATCAATGTCATCAAAATCACTAAAACAATGAAAAATATGAAGTTTTACCTCATGTGAAGTTTCCGAAACATCGATTTCGTGTTCCATTCGTCAAAAATATTTTTTTCTCAATCAACATGTTTGTAGTTTCATTGGTTAGGGTTTTGTTCAGCAATGGAGGGTGAGAGGGTTTTTGATAGTTGAGAAGATAAATAATACGCTAAATATGATTTGTGGTGTATTTAGAAAATTTTCTTTTTAAAAAAAAAAAAAAAAAAAACCTAATAAGATCAAAATTGTCATTGCATAATGGGGTAAATAAGTTATTTAATATTAAATTTTAATGTGCGGTGCATTTAACATTTTATGGGGTGCTAATATAAAAAGCAAAAAAAATAAAAATAAAAATATTGAGACAATGTTGATTGATACTTAGAGCATCACCAAAGGAGATGTCAAATTTAAAACATTAAATTAATATTTGATGGCTTATGTGGTAATTTGACATTTTGTACAATTTTTTGATCCAACCGATATGTCAAATAATAATGTCATTCTAAATTTTTTTAATCACTTTGTGGGGTTCATTAATGTAGGCAACCAATCAAATTCTTAAAATACACAACCACATTTATTATATTTCCATTAAATCTATTAAAAAATATTAAATGGATTTGACAGCTGCTGTAAAATTTGACAGAAGAAGGCTTTGCCTTCAATTGACTCAACGCCACGTAGCAAATTGAAAGCTTAGTTGGAGAAAGTTTGCTGTCAATTTTTACTGTTATATACCTATGTGGCAGTTTTGACATCTCTTTTGGAGATGCTCTTAGAAATGTTCATTTTCTAAGTTACTCTTTGAACTTAATCACGCACAAAACCAACTAAATAAAGACATTTAATTGTTCAATTAAAATTGTCATAATTTGAATTATTAACCGAAAATTGTGGTTTGCCTCTTGATTAAAGAATAATCAGATGAGCAAAATATCTTCATTTTAGCTTCTTTTTTTTTGTAAAAATAATTTTTAATGGGCCTATGTACTCCATAATTTACACAAAAATAGAATTATGAGACTGAGATCTTGAGAGAAGATGGATAATTAATATTTTAGTAAGCAATCCTCCAAAAAAAAAAAAAAAAAATTTGTAAGCAAATTAACATCTGAGATGACGAAAGAATGCTCTATAAGATAGATTATTACATACAAACAAAGCAAGAGGCTCTCATGGGTGGGTTTGCATCATTCAACTTTGTATTATTATTCTGGTTTAGATTATAACGTACAAACAATGCAAGATGCTCTCATGAGTGGGCCGGTTTGCATCATTCAATTTTGTATTATTACTCTGGTTCGTGGTTGTTACTTCAGACTCACAACGTGAGAAACGAGGAGGGGTTACGTGGTTCTTATACACCTTTCACTACCTACTTTTGCATTTTGTTGTTTAGTTTACCCCACCTAATGCAACAAATCACGTCAAGTTTTATATGGAACTATCATTAATTTTCTCGTCACATAAAAAAAAAAAAAATAATTGTATAGCTTCAATGCTATGTATTATTCAGTGTTACAAGTATTTTAACTATTAGATTTGATTTTCACAACTATTTAAATCTTCTATTTTCAATCTCAATATTTTCTTCAGAGCAATTTCACGCCTAAAGGCTTTATGCCAGCACTCAGCCCATTTAATTCACTCAATGAACAGTAATAGGACAATGCATATCCATCCCTAAAACTAAATAGCCTAGTCAATTTTATTAAAATATTATTAATTATTAATTTCTGAGTTTCTCCCCAAAAATGCTCCTCAGACCAGAGCACGCCAACCCACCCCTCATCTTCACCCTCCATCAAATCCCCACCTCTCCTTCACTCTCCGCGGTCCGACCCGCCCTAAACCAGTTGACATCGCCGCCCGGGCTCGCCAGCTCTAAACCCGCCGCCTGTGGACCTACGCCCTGACCTTCAGCTGCATCGTCGGATTTGTATGTCATCGTCCTTAACAGCAAGTTCCGGGTCGGCAGCCTCGTCCTCGAAGGTAGCGTCATCCAGCTGTCTTCCTCACCGGAGATGGAGTTCGTCGTCATCGATTTCAGATCATGACTTCAGCCTGACGTCATGTAGGCCGGTCCCAAGGTTTATCAATTTTGGGCAGGCCTAGAGACCAGCTTAGGCTGGGTGCCAGGCAATCCCGTGGGCTGGAGAAACTTCCCTAGGTGTTGGGCCATTTTTTTTTTACTGTGTGCTGGCCTATCCCACCCCGAGTGAAAGTGTTCTCATGATATGTAGTATGAAAAAAAAGTTGCAAGTCCCTTTAAACTAATAAGATGCGTCATTGCTTGCATCACTCATGACCATATTGATGGGAGGTTCTCTAGGGGAATGAGAGTCACACAATGTATAAATAAATATAGTTTAAATTTCACAATAGTTTTTGGGTTCTAGTTATTAGGTAAATTTAGTCTCCGTGATTTTAATTTGGTCAATTTGGTCCTTATATTTATCTTTGTTAACTAATTAATGATATTTCATCCAATCCCTATTAAAAAAAATTATTATTATAAACTTATTTATAAGAATATCTATTTGATTTAAAAATGAAATAAAATTAAAAATTAAAAGAATAATTACTCTCATCCCTAACGTTCTATCATCTCCTAATTTTCTTGCTCACCCCCACTCCCCCCCCCCCCCCCCCCCCCCCTCCTCTTTTCTACACCACGAGAATTAAATTGGCCAAAAAAAATATGGGGACTAAATTGGCCAAATAGCTATAACACATGAACCCTTTTTTAACATTTAAGGCAATAAGTAATGAACTCAACCCAAAAATATTATATGTTATAGTCATGAATTAATATAATAGTTTTAAACCCTCCTCTCCCCTTAATAATAGTAGTTTTTTTTATTCCACAATGGCCTTAGCTCAAATCCAAAAGACATTAAACAAACCAAACTCAAGTGACTCAAACTCAATAATTAGGGATAAAAGCACTGTCCTGACCAATAACCCTAATTTACATTGCCATCACATGTACAAACTTTACATCGTCTTGTTTATGGTTGTAGATTAGCATTTTCTCCGTATCACATTTCAAAGTAATAAAAAACCACTTAGTACTACGATCTAGTGGTATTACTCTCCACATTATTACTAGCTCATTGTGAGGCTAAGGTCACCCCCTCCCCTAATATCGTTTGTTAAAAAGAAAAAAAAAACCGTTTGTTTGCATAACCAGTGGTTTCTTCATCAATTTGGGATTTGGATACAATTAGAATTATTTCAGAATAATTGGGGTAGGGTACATGGGTGACCTAGCTTAGCGCACCACTACACTCCTCACAATTTACCATCGGGTGTTGAAATCAATAGTGGGCTGAAAAATATGAAAGTAGGCCCACTAACGGCCGATTGATGTAAGTGGTGGGCTCGGATTCTTAGAAGAAAAGCCTCGAGCATGGGAACGCGTATGAGTTGTTCGTCTCACCAACGACGGTTCCCACCAGCAAATTGGGGTTGGGTTTTGGACTTAAGAAGTATCTAGACCTGGCTTTGCACCCGATGCGACCTGGGTGGGCATGCACCGACGGTAATGAGCTGCCCCAGTGGTGGATCATCTGTGGGTAGCGTGCACCGTATCCAACCATGAACGACATCCTCAGTGAATTATCACTTAGAATGTAGTCCACCTGAAAAAAATTCAATTGCAAAATTACAATGCTATCCTCGCA